CTGAAAGTCTATATATATTAAGACGGAGAAGACCAAAAACTTGTTAGAGAGGCATCTTGTTTTACCTGGTATTGGGGAAGAATATATATTCCATGACTACCAAGATTTTTAACAATTATTCCATATGCAAAAAACTGCTTTTCCTCCGAAAACAAGTAAATATACCGGGATAATAGTAAAATCCAAACATAGCCCTCAGTAAACTACAGGAAAAAGTACAAGACATAGGAAAAAAGGTGCCTGGCGTGGAAATTTCGAGTAACCGGCCAAAAATCACTACTTCTAAACGTCCGAAATAAAAAGAAGAAAAAAAACTACTACCACAAAACAAGTTAATTCCATTCAATGAAACAATACCGATTGTTGATAAAGCCAAATACCGAATATTTGGTGTCGGTCATCGAAAATTGGTCACGTTGAGATGTGGTCAGCGATGCGGTCGATCGAGGTCAAGAATAGATGATTGGATGCCGACAACTGATGCTGGTCTTGCTCTACTGATGTCTTCTTCTTCCTTGCGATGTCGGTCATGAAGAATTGATGCTGATTATCCTGAAAGTTTCAAGGTGAGTGATGCTGATTTTGATCTCGTCAGGTTTCTGAGACGAGAGAGACAATACTGATAACTGACCATTTTGATGTCTGGATTTTGATCCCGCCATTTTGTTTTTTCAAATCATGCCGTATCATAAAACAGCTCGTGGTGGAAAGGTCTCATTCTCTGGTCGTAATTCACCGTCGCATTGCGTAGAGTCCACGTCATTAGAAAAAATCATTGCTACCTGTGGGATTTCAAAAAGATATTTTCCATCAGTTAAACTTGAACATATTGATGATCTTGTAGAGTTTTACTCTCAGTTTGATACAGAGGAGCTGATTCGCTTAGATAAATTACTTAGCAAACTGCTCATTCAGATAAGATCAAGTTACCCTGGAGACTATGAATACTCATACTTCCTAAAACTGACAAATGCAGCTTATCACGTCAGATGGAAGCGGAAAAAATTTCAAGCAGAAGAAAACAAGGTGATGAATGAAAACTCCATTAAAGTCGAATCAATAATGACTGAAACTAATCCAAGCACTGCAGACAAAACCATGGAAAATAAAGATGAAAACTTGAATACAACACCGAATACAGAAACTGACACGGACATCAATATTAACAATAATACAGAACCACCAGCAAAGAAAAGAAAAAAGAAGAAGAAGCAAAATGCAGTCAAAACAATTGAAGATAATTCTACACTCATGTCTACAAACAGCTGTCCTTCTTCTAGCCAACATAACTCAACAGATGACGTCACTATCTTGCCGACAACAAAACCTAAGGAGGTTACCGACAAAGTACAGGATCCGCCCAGCAAACCAGAAATAACACCGCAAGCCAGATTTATTAAGGTTTTGGTCCGGGGCCTGCCTGTGGACTTTGATAAAGATGCCATCAATACAGAATTACAGAAAAACAATATTGAAACCTTTAAAATAGTGCAGTTTAAGAAGAGAATGGGAGAGGCCTATCGGCTCCTTCCACTTTTTCTCATAATCCTAACATCAACGGTGAATCACCATAGAGTATTCAAAGTCAACAACATACAGCAGATCCCGATCAAAATCGAACGATTTCGAGGAGGTCGAAGACCTACACAATGTTACAACTGTCAAAATTATGGACATACGCAAAGCCACTGCAATGCACCTGCAAGGTGTGTAAAATGCGCTGAAAACCACAGGTCTCATGAATGCAACAAAGACAGAACAACACCTCCAAAATGTTGTAATTGCTACAAAAACCACACAGCCAACTATACTGGGTGCGAGACCCGCCCCAGCAGAAGGAGCCCTCGAGCAACATCAAATTCGACGCCTAAACTTGCTCACCGATTAGTGTCATTAATCAAAGAATTACAGGAATTGCTCAAAAATGAAGAAGTGCTCCGTCTTCTAAGGGAGATCATCGGGGAATCATCTCAAACCCAGTGAGTTCTATTCTTATTTTCAAGACTCTCAAGTTAAATTCACTGAACTTTTCACAGTAGACTTTTACTTATGTTACATTAAATTACATCAAATTTTATTTTCTGATAATATAGCCAATTTATGCATATATATTTATCAACTTATGCACGTTAAATTCTTTTGCAAATTCTATTGTATTTAATGAACAATATTTCGCTTATATTTATATATGTCAACAGATGTCAATTTAGATTCGATATTCAAATGTTATATTTACTATATTAATTTATGTCAACCTATGTATATATATTTCAAATTATGTTTATATTTATATATGTCAATATGTGTCAATTTAGATTCTATAGTCAAATGTTATATCTACTATGTTTATCTATGTCAACCTATGTATATATATTTCAAATTATGTTTATATTTATATGCTTATATTTATATGTGTAAATTTAGTTTCGATATTCAAATGTTTATTTACCCAAGCAAAGTGCTTGTAATTTTGTATTAGCAACCACATCGACTGCTAAATTCAAAATGTTATCACTTTAAACTTATGTAAATTTCTAGATGTATGGGATAGGGGCCGCTGCGCGGCCCAGGTGCCCAATTTTTTATAAATAAAGTAAGTAAGTAAAGCCAAATACCCCTAGCGGGGCTGATGCTAAGATAACCAACACATATGAGTATGAGTAAAGCCAAATACCTTGGAGTCATCCTTAACACGTTGAGCGCTGCGTCAGCCATCGGTGGCTGACACTGGATTTTCCATTTAGGCAGCGTCAACCACCGGTGGCTGACACTGAAATTACATTTAGGCTACCGCTTGCTGACACTGACCTTTCACATAGGCCGCGAAAAACAGCTGGCTGACAGTGTATAATATGATATAGAACTATAAAATTCACACTCTTTTATGGAATTGCAGAAACTTTATTAAAGATTTACTTAATTATTATGATTCTTGGTTTAATAAATTCAATTTAGTAGATTTTTATCTACCACTATTTTTAAACAATTCTTAGGCATATATAATTCACCACTTTTTTCAAATATGTCACCCCTCATTTCAGGTTCTATTCCGAGCCTACATCACATCTTTCCTATGTATGTTCCCGTCATGGGATATTTCAAGATGAATGGGAAAAAGGCCATTTAGGCCTCAGATGCCCAGTTCTACAACAACGAACGAACGAACGAAATATGTCACTTTTTATTCTATTTCATGATGTATGGGATATGGGCCTTCTGCACGGCCCAGATGCCCAATTTTCTATAAATAAAGAAAGAAGAAAGAAAAAAGAAAGAAAGACAGATATGTCATGCTCAACCTTTTATAAACTAGCAAAATCTGTCTATATTTGCAAATTTAGTTTGTAGTTATTTACCGTGTGGCCAGTCGGGCAAGCCATGTAAGATTAGCGTGGCATTCAACGTGTTAATAGCAAATTCACCTGGAACGATCACATCAAAAGCATTACCAGTAAAGCACAAGCAACATGCACTTAAACTCAAAGATTGTTCTATTTATCCATGATCCACCCCATCCTTACTTATGCTTCACCAGTCTTGACAACTATAACACAAACTCAGCAAAATAATCTAATATTCCGCCAGAATAAAATATTAAGAAGGATAACAAAAGCCAGATGATTTATAAGAAATGATACAATACACCATGACATCAAAATAGATGCAATCGACAAACATATAGCTCAATTAAATAACAAATTCTACGAAAAAGCCACCTCTTGCTCTTCAAAGAATTTCGATTAAATATTCCTATTTGAAAATATACAAGAACATGAGACCAATAGCAGCATACTATTGTAGTGATGCATCATATTCCCGACATCAATAGCATATACACAACCTCATTTTCCCCAGACCAGTTCCTATATTCCTATTTGAAAATTTAACTCAAGACAAGAACATTAGACCAATAGTAGCATACTATTGTTGTGGTGCATCATATTCCCGACATCAGTAGCATATACACAACCTCATTTTCCCCATACCAGCTTAGCTCAAGTTATACCTCATATTTATACATTACACTCTTATCACCCTACTGCATATAACTACAGTCAGACAGAACTCAATGATCATCTATCCACATGAATACTCCGTACTTCATTTGTTTTCCACCACCTCATCGAAACACCACAAAGTTCAAGCCAAAGATGATTGGGAAAATGGCCACAAGCTGCCTCTGGTGCCCAGATGTTTTATACAGTTCAGTTCAGAGAAGAAGTAAATACTTCATCTTTAAAAATAGATTTAGTCTCCAAAAACCAGCTATAAATGAAGTGGTTTGACTACCTTGGATTTTTTTTCCGTCTTACTCTGAGTTTCTCGATAAGAGGTGGGATGATGTACTAGGATAGAGATTTTTTTTTTGTCGTATGCCTGTTCAGGCAGTGAGGGTTCGACTGTTCCAGTTTTTCAGTGGCCCCATCTATGGCCAGGAATTCGAATTCTGCCACGCCATTCACACAAACACAACCCGTTTATAGGGCGGGTCTCATTCACACACAAAGGAGAAAGGACATAGTTCACACAGAGAGAGAAAGAAACATCCATGCTCAGCCCGGGATTCACACCCAGGACCTTCCTGATGCAAGGACAGTCCGTGCCCCCTACACAGGCCGGTCGGCAGGATAGAGATATGTACGTTAGAATGAGATTAATCGTTAAATTGCTACCCAATATATTGAGTATGAGTTCCAAGTTTTTTTTTAAATTTCATTTTTATAACTGGCGTTTAACAACAGATACAATTCAAAGTTTACGATTAATGTTCAACTCCGAATCCTTGTAATTTTGAACCTAACCCTGAAGAGGAGGAAACTTCTGAATCAATCACTGGGACACACTAGCCTTTGTAGAGATTACTTTGATTAAACTAACTCACATTTGTGTTTCGTGGAGGGGAAACCACGAAAACCTCCTACGGTTAGCACGACGGCAATGGAATTCTACCACGGAGGATATTTTACGTCAGATTTTAAATTAATTTTTAAAATACTTACATCTTCTGTTTCCATAATACTACAGCATTGCCCATATGATGTGATAGCTTGATATGGTTTAAAGAGTAAATGATCTTCGGAAGAAGGCACAGAATAAGATACACAAAAACCTCGACAAGCATTCGTAGCAACATCGAATTCTATGCATCCAGGAATACTAATAGTTCGAGAATGACCTGCAAGTATACAGCTTAAATTTGCAAAAATAATTGAAGATTTTAAGGTTGTTTTTCGATTCTAATACTACCCTAATACTACCTTTCCCCTAAAAACCCTTAAGATAAATTTCAAAGTGCTGTTCAAACTTTTGTATTCATGGAAGGGAAAAACTTTTTAAATTCTATGAATTGCAAATGTTTGAGCAAAGTATTATAAACTGAACTCATAGTCACAAATTACTCCGTTTAAGCATAATTTAAAATAATAACGATAAGTTAACCTTAGGATAATATTCAACAAGAGTTCATAAAGTTTTTCGAACTCAAAAAGCATTTAGCAGACACTTATAAGTCATTTGCTTTCGGAACACTATTTACCCCTTGGGGACGGGTGATTCAGAAAAGCATTCGTACAAAATCAGAATCAGGATGTAAGTAAATAAAAAACGGTAACTTAAATGTAGTCGTTGCTAATTTGACAGACTTACTTTGCTTTTACTGTTATTGTTGCTATTATTGTTACTTTAATGATATATATAATCGATGTTACTTCAAAGTATAACTAAATAATTTTATTTTGAACTAAGTAATGGTGAATTAAATAAATCAAACAATTATAACCCCGTCCCCAATTAAACTGCTAAAGAACTATACTTTGGTTACCAGTTTTATCTTTTAAGCCTGATTGATACTGTTTTATGCTGGCACGTATTTGTGACAGTCGGTGCGAAAGGGTTAACGGGAAGTTTTTAATATGGAAGTGCTTATTTTCGGTTTTACTTATTTAGTTCAACAATTACAAATAATCGAGGTAGTAAAGTAGTCCGAGTCTTTACATTGGAGTGATGGTAACTTATGCGGATTTCCATAAAAAATAATGATGATCTATGAAGGAATTACCAGATGATTACCATCATAATTGTGTTGATTTATTAAAAATTTAAACACGGTAGAGTACATCATAAGGATTGAGAATCGTATAGTAATCCATGGCCAAAAATAAGCACTTCCATATTAAAAACTTCCTGTTAATAGTGTTCCAAAAGCAAATGACTTATGCCTGTTAAATACGTTTCAAGTTCGAAAAACGTTATAAACTATTGTTGAATATTAACCTAAGATTAACTTATCGTTATTATTTTAAATTATGATTGATCCTATCTAATATTATTAGAGATTATACATACCAACTTTAAAGCATCCTGGTCTCTCCCAATGATTTGCTAATGAGTCGTCAGCCAGTAGAAGTATTAATATAAATAATAGTTTGTGACATAAGAATTGAGAAGAAGATAAAACCATCATAAAAAATTCCAGAAGATTCCTGTGTTAAGAACAATTGACAAGACCTAATTAAAATATTAAAACAATGAACTTGCCAGCACCATTGAAATATCAATTTTATATGGCTTTTACCAACAAAAAAAATTAAATAATATTATGTTTATACATAATATTATAATAATATTATGTCTTTAGTAATTAAATAATTAAGTTATATATTTCTATTTCTATGTACATTTCACAAAATAAAAAAAAACGGATCACCCTGAATAACTATTCATATAATTAATCGAATGAACAATTTCATCTAAATAAAATTATTCTTAATTCAATAAAATGTGTCCCACTATTGTTATAGATACCAGTTAAAGATCTTATTTTAGATCCCTTCAAAAATAATTACAAAATAAATATTTTGTAGTTTACAAAACAAAAAAGTGACCAAAAATTCAAAAGTTGTTAAATGCTTTTGTTTCTTATTTTAAGAACAGTACATAGGGAGATTGATTAAAAAATTACTCATGAAAACATAAATACTATAGAAAGAGAAGTGGGGAGATCGATGCATTTTAAATATTGATAGCTTTTGAAAGCGAAGCTATTTAATTTATTTGTAATTCAAGAGCTATAAGCCAACACAGTTTTCAGACTAATTATGTTCCATACTTTAATTACAAAAGATTTGAAAAAGAAACCTTACATTAGACTTACATCCTTTTTTGTATTTGATAAATGTTCAAGTATTCAACGAAATTGCGCACAATTTTTAAATAATATCCAACTAATATTCTACATTATATTACTACTTTTAATGGGCTTTATCTTTAAATTGAAATTCATATGTGATTACAGACATTTTTTTTCGTACAATCAATCTCAATAATGTTTTTAAAAGTGGCAAACATTTGTATCAAAAGTTAAAAAAAACACGTCCCAGAATAATTGTAAACCTTATTTCTCATAAATTTAAATAAGCACAAATAATTTAAAATCTATATTCATTAAAACAATAATTTACATTTCTGTCAGTTTTTATGAAACAAGACAATATCTCTATTTTAGTTAATTATATTTACCCGAACTTTTATAATTTTGTTTCTCTATTGATAAAATATGTATGGGTTTTTGAAAATTAAAAAATCTATCATTTTAAATTAAACATGAATGCTAATTTATTTTGAGAAAAATGTTTTATATTTTGGGTAATTTATTTTGTTTTATATTATTTGTACCCCAAAAAACTATGCCTGAGATGATGTTTTGAAATTGAATTAATAAATGTCATATAAATCTTAGATGATTTTTAAACTATGTTCTCAATATGCTAACGAGTTTTCATGCTAGAGCAGATAGATAAGATTTTGCAGTGAAAATCTTTTGAAATAGAGTAATTCAATTGAAGATGCAGAATCTTTTGTTTTTTTTAAATATTTATACTGAATTATACAATTTTGAATATAAAACTTATTCAACACTAATTAATTTATAACTTTAGACAACCTAACAAAATGAATCTAAATAATTTCTTTACGTATAATTATTTTTTTAATTGACTTAAATTATTGCTTCCGATAAAAAAAAAATGAATAATAACTATAGTGTTGGCAATAGAGTGAGAATATATGTAGATAATAGATTGTCTACCGTACTAAAAATACATTTTTATAATAAATTCTGAGTGAAACCAAAATAAATGATAAGAAATTAGTCCTTTAAAAAATGCAAAATATTTTAAACTTTTTGTAACATTGAATTTTATTTGTTTAAATATAAACTATTTTTACAATACTGATCACTAAATAATTGCATTTTTGATTTTTAGTTTTCTCCATTTTATTCAGTTTTTACCGGTTTTTTCCAGTGCCTTCCAGTATTATGAGAGATATTATTACTTCAAAGCACACAAAGTGGTAACATTAAGAAGACGAATATCAATCATTTAATACATTTGTGACCACCACTATATATTTATTTTCAAATAAAATAACTATATTAACACTTTATTATTGCCAGACCTAAATGTTAAATTGGTATTTTGAATAAAAACTTTTAAGTCATTTTTCTCTTTTTAGATTTCTTTTATGAATTTTGAATAATAGTTTTAATATTAAGAACCTTTTGCTTGTGGTATAAATTCTTTTCTTTATGAATTAGCGTCACTTTTGCGTTGAGTATTTTTATAATAAATATCCTTCAGCAACGAGTATTGATTCTAAACAGGGGAATTAGCTCCTTGCTTTTCTACAAAAGAAAATCTTCCAATTTGATGGATACCAAAAATGCAATTTTCATATGAATGAAGAAAGTTAAAATTAAAGTCAATAATTTCCTATTTATTTATATTTTATTTTACTCTTAAATTACACAATTATTTTATTTATTACCTTTTAGTGTTAAATTTATAAATAAAAGTTACGATTTATAATTTTGTTTTATAAAAGATCATATAATTATGTTTTCGAAAAAATTTTTGTTATTATTTTTCATTTAAGGTAATATTTATCGGTTTTTGGAGGCTTTTTCCTTTTGCATTTTTTAAGAATTTTTAATTCATTAACATCCGATCTTTAGTCATAATATTAATGATGTGATAAATTTAATGCTTTTAAATAATCTATTTGAAAGGATTTAATAGTTTTTTGTAAAAATTTATGTAAAAAATTTAATAAATAAAATTTATAAGAGATTATATAATTATGTTTTCGAAAATGTTTTAGTTATTATTTTTTATTTATAGTTAATATTTATTTGTTTTTAGAGGCTTTTTTCTTTTGCACTTTTTAAGAATTACTAACTTATCAACATCTGATCTTTGGTCATAATATTAATGGTGTAATAAATTTAATGCTTTTAAATAATCTATTTGAAAAGATTTAATAGTCTCTTGTAAAAATTTATGTAAAAGAAAATAAATCTTTAAATAAAATTTACGATATAAAATTTTGTTTTATAAAAGATTATATAGTCACATTTTCGAAAAATTTTTGGTTGTTATTTTTTATTTATGGTTATATTTATTTGTTTTTAGAGGCTTTTATCTTTTGCACTTTTTAAGAATTATTAGCTTATCAACATCTGATCTTTGGTCATAATATTAATGATGTAATAAATTTAATGCCTTTAAATAATCTATTTGAAAAGATTTAATAGTTTTTTGTAAAAATTTATGCAAAAGAAAATAAATCTATAAATAAAATTTACGATTTAAAATTTTGTTTCATGAAAGATTATATAATCAAATTTTCGAAAAATATTCGGTTAGTATTTTTTATTTATAACTATATTTATTGTTTTTCTGAGGATTTTTTCTTTTGCATTTTGTAAGAATTTTTAAGTCATCAACATTTGATCTTTGGTCATAATATTAATGATGTAATAAATTTAATGCCTTTAAATAATCTATTTAAAAGGATTTAATAGATTTTTGCAAAAATCTATGTAAAAAAATTTATCTAAAAAAAGACAAAGGGCAGAAATATCACTGATAAATAACGCATATATATATTAGGTAACATTTTTCAAAATTTAGAGGACCAAAATTCTTTCATAAAATGCTTACCTTAGATTTGGTGAAGAGACAAAGATAGAATAAACGCAACTGAAAGGGAAACTGTTGATTTTCTCCTTGCCGCTTCTTAACCAATCACGACAAACTTCTCACAGAAAAGGAGGCGTAACTTTTCTATCAAACAGTTTCTTAGATAATGCAAATGATGCTTTCAGAATAATTTTTAAAGTATGTATTCTTAAAGGATTTTTTTTTTATTTCGTTAAGTATTAAGATTTAAAATTTTGAATTATTATTTCTTATAAAACAAAAAGAGAGCATTAAAGTAACGAAATTTTATTAATGTTGAGTGTCTATGATAAACTGATTATAATAACTGTTAATATAATAACAAAAAACTGATTTTCCTGGATTTTTCCAGTTTTTTCCCAATAAAATTTTTCCCCGTACATGCAGGAACCTCCAGAATATCGAAAAACACATAAAATAAATAATATAAATTAAATTAAAAGAAAAAAAGAAAATTTTCGAAAATTTGACCGTCCCTGGGATTCGAACCCAGTACCCCTCCTTCCGGCAGCGAACTTGCTTGTCTGGTGGCCTACCTTCCAGTCCACGGTGATACGTGAAGCCTTCCGCAGTTTCGCTTCAAGAGCTCTCTCCTCTCATCTTCGCAATATACCTTTAGGGGCCCTCTGTGACCCCCCTAATTGGCCTATAAAAATTATCTTCAGCAGTCTTGTTTGGACCATAGACCCCTGTTTAGGGATCGAGTTTGAAAATTATAACTTGATTTTAAAGGGAGCTAGGGGGTCTTGAAATTTGAACCTTTCTCGAGATATTTTATTATTTTATTCTTTTTTTTATTTTATTCCATTACGCTTTCTTTGCTGGACTTCACACACAGAAAACACCCCATGCATGATAGAATATCCAAAATGTTACAATAGAAGTCGAAAAAGAGCAAATAAACTGATTTTCCTGGATTTTTCTAGTTTTTTCCCAATAAAAAATTTTTTTTCCTGCATGCAGGAACCTCCGAAATATCGAAAAACACATAAAAAAATTATATAATTTGAAATAAACAAAAAAAAAAGAAAATTTTTTGAAAATTTGACCGTCTCTGGGATTCGCACCCAGGACCCCTCCCTCCTGCAGCGAACTTGTTTGTCTGGTGGTCTACCTTCCTGTCCACGGTGATACGTGAAGCCTACCACAGTTTCGCTTCAAAATCTCTCTCCTCTCATCTTCGCAATATACCTTTAGGGGCCCACTGTGTCCCTCCTAATAGGCCTATAAAAATTATCTTCAGCAGCCTTGTTTGGACCATGGACCCCTACTTAGGGTTCAAGTTTGAAAATTATGCCTTGATATTAAAGGGAGCTAGGGGGTCTTGAAATTTGAACCTTTCTCAAGCCATTTTATTTATTTGTTTTTTATTTATTACTCCATTACGCTTTCTTTGCTGGACTTCACACACAGAAAACACCCCATGCATGCTAGAATATCCAAAATGTCACAATAGAAGTCGAAAAAGAGCAAATAAACTGATTTTCCTGGATTTTTCCAGTTTTTTCCCAATAAAAA